GCTTGGTCTACAGAGTGAGTTCCAGGCCAGCTGGGGCTACAAACACCACCCAACAACCCACACAAAAAAAAAAAAAAAAAAAAGAACAAAAAAAAAAAAAAAAAAAAACCAAAAAAAAAAAAAAAAAAAAAAAAAGATGTACTTTCTTTCCCTTCTGTATTTTCCCATCTTTGAAAGCAACGCATCACTGGTGCCTCGTACTCCTCAGACCTGTTTCTGTCCTTGCTGGCTCCAGAGGGTGACCCAGCTCGTGGCCCATATTTTATCCAAAGGGTCTCAACACAGCCTGGTCCTTACAGGGGCCTTGGTAACTGTGCAGAATGAACTAGGCCCTGTAAAGCTGTTAGCAGGCTGTGGCTTCTGGGTCAGTGTTCTGGACCCACGTGAGGGAGCCTGGCAACCTTCATGTGCCAACTTGACAAAAACTAGAGAAACCAAGGAGGGGGAACCACAACCGAGGAATTTCCGCATCAGACCGGCCTGTGGCCATGTCTGTGGGGCATTTTCTTGACTGCTAATTGATGTAGGAGGCCCAGCACACTGTAGGCAGTGCCATGCCTAGGCAGGTGGGCCTGGGCTGCACAAGAAGGGCTCTGAGCATGCCAGGGGAAGCTCAGGCCAGCAAGTAGTGCTCCTCTGTGGCCTCTGCTTTGGTTCCTGCCTCCAGGTTCCTGCCTTGAGCTTCTGTCCTGGCTTGATGATGGACTGTGACCTGTAAGCCATGATCCCTTTCCTCTCTCAAGTTGCTTCTGGTGACAATGTTTATCACAGAACCGAAAGCAAACCAGGATACCTCAGCAACATTTTCATACTGGTTGGAAGGGACTGGACTTTTGAGCCTTTTCCAGTGCTAGGGGCTTCGTCATTAGGGAACAGATCATCATTGGCAGCAGAGCTCTTGGGGTGGGCTGTGCCAGGCTTCTGGGCTGTTGTGGCATCCAACAAATGGCATGTCCCTCAAGCCTGAAAACTTCAATTCCCAGCAGCCCCTGTGGCAATTTCATATGGGCACAGGACTTTTTTGCCTCCATGGCTTGAGGGAGTTGTAGTTCTTTATTTGCTGCTACTCAAGCCTAATCTGCTCAGATCGTGGACACAGCTGTTCCTTAGAATACAGGTCCACTGTACTGAGGAAAAGAGATTCAGCCCTTCCATGGAAGATCCCAGGTCTAGCTACAGGGATGGGCAGGGCCTCTGGTCAGACAGAGGAAATGGAGGAGGCCTGTTTAGGGTTAACCAAGCTCCACTGGGAGGGGGAGATTCCTCCTGGCATTCAGGCCCAGAACAGCCAGAGCCTCCCACATCAGCCTGAGTCTGAGATGCCCTCCCCATCTTACCATGCAGTATGAAGAAGGTCTTAGGGTTAAACCTGTTGGGGTCCAGTCCATCCAGTTCCTCCCACACCTCCTTCAACTGGGCTTGGCTGCCCTGTGGAGAATGATGGGAGCTCATGAGCAAGGAGTCTGAAAGCCACAGTATCAAGTCAGATCTAACTCTGTATCCCCATCCAATAACCTTCATGGCGCCTCAAGTCAAAAAACTGCAATTCCCAGCAGGCCCATTGGGCAGCTTCATAGAAACAGGGGGACTTTTTGCCTCTAGGCTTCCTGGAAGTTGTAGTTCTGCACCTGCATTAGCCTTTTGGTTTGGATTTGGACACAATAGGGCATGCATGGGGGACCTTACAGGGACATTAACTTTGGGGTGCTCCCGATGCCTGCGCTGCTGCTCTTCCAGCTTCCTCTCAGCCTCCTTCCGCTGCTCTTCTCCCAGTGACTCCAAGTAACGGCGCCTCTCATGTTCCTTGAGCATCTCATAACGTTTGAACTCTTCATGATGCGCAGCATCAAACTGTGCAAGGTCACGGGTGGCCTGTGGAGAAGCCAGGGGGTCACCCATGTTCCTGTCGCTTAGTACCTGGCCCGCCCTCACCTTCTTGGCCTCCATGGCTGGTCCTGCTTGCAACACACCCTAAGCTATTTGCTGAAAGTGACATGCTTTTGCGACAGCAGCTTGGCTGTGAATCTTTCAAGTCCTCTACCAGCTCAGCATTTCAAGAACGAGTAGAGGGAGCTGGGAGTAGTGGCCCATGACAGGAAGCAGCATAGCTTGGGTCGCCAATAACATGAGGTCTCCTTGGGCACAATGGAGCACACCTGCAGTTCCAGGACTTGGGAGGCTGAGGGAGGAGGATGGCAAGTTCTAAGCCAGCCTGGGCTACATTCTAGACCTTGGCTCAAAACAAATCCTGTTAAGAAATGTATTTATACTGGCTTTAAAAATATATTATTTTTACTTTACATGTATGAGTGTGCTGCCTGCATGTATGTAAGTGCCCTCGTGTTGTACAATGCCCCAGAGGTCAGAAGAGAACATTGGATTCCCTTGGAATTGGAATTATGGACGGTTGTTAGCTGTCATGTAGGTGTTGGGAACTGAACCCCGGCCCTCTGCAAGAGCAGCCAGTGCTCTCCAGTGCCTATGCATGCTGTCTTAAGCTACTAAGCTTGGACTAACTGACGTAGCCACAATACAGCTGGTATGGCATGGCAACTTCAGAGTGGGCCTCTTGGCTAAGGTGGCTATGTGGCAAGGGACAACAGACCAGGCCAGAAGAGATCTTTACAACAGGAGGAAGTCTTCAGGCATCTAGTGTGTGAAGCCCAGGATTGCAGCTAAGTACCCCACAATGCAGAGAACAGACCCCATCACACAGTGCTCTCCTGCCCCAAGCATCCAGGGGTGGAGCTGTGAACCCCTGGCTGCAGAGAGTGGAGGGCAGAGGCAAGGGTTCCAAAGAGGAAGTTTCTGTGAGGATGGGAGCAAGACCAGGGAAGCATGAGATTGGAGAGGAGCAGTTTCTGGAATATCTAGAAACAAGTGATAAAAACATTTCTAAGGAGGCCAGGTGTGGTAGCACATGCCTTTACTCCCAGCACTTTGAGGCAGAGACTGGTGGCTCTGTGAGTTCCAGGCCAGTCTGGTCTACATAGCCAGCTGCAGTCGAGAGCTATAGAGTGAGACCCTTTCTCAACAGCACCCCCCAAAGAAAAAAATACTTCTAGGAGACTAAGATGGGTACCTCTGGCTTTTGCCTTGAAGCACAACCTGGGCTAGGCAAAGCCAGAAGTCCTGGATGAGAGGTAGGATCTGACCTGTGGTGCTGGGGAGCTACAGCAGGTCTACAAGCAGAGGAGGACCAGGGCAGGCAAACTTTCCCTAACACTGTCTCAGGCCATTCATCATACTTCTCAGATGCAGGCTGTGTGGGTTGTTAAGCCACTGCAGGAGAGGTGTGAAGTGAAACTCACTTACCACCTTACAGTGGGGAGGTATGAACCTAGTTTTCTATAGAATGGAAATCAGGTATGGGTGAAGGAAGTAGAAGTGTAGTGGGTTTCCATGACACCAGGCCTCAGCAAGGCATCTGTCTTCCGGTGTCACACCATTTCCTACTTCTTTTTTTTGGTCTTCTTGAGACAGGGTCTCCCTGTAGCCCCAGCTGGCCTGGAACTTACTATGTAGACCAGGCTGGCCTTGAACTCACAGAGGTCCACCTGCCTCTGCCTCGGAGTGCTGGCATTAAAGGCGTGAACCACCATGCCTGGCACCTTTTCCTATTTCTATTCTATTCTTGTGGAGAGAGGAAGGTTTTGCTATGTAGCCCTGGCTGGCCTTGAATTCCCAGTAACCTCCCTGTTTCGGTCTCCTGCGACAAGTGTGTGCCACCACTCCTGGCTGCCATCTGCTTCTATAAGCAAATCTCCCTCTGCACCTCACTTATGAGTTGACGTTTAGGGCAGGATGAATAGTCCAGGATCACTGCCTGATTCTAGATGCTAAATTCAATCACACAAAGTTTCTCTATTTATCTGGAACAGAGGTGTGTAGTAGGGATAGAACCTAGGACCTTGGACATGTCAGGCAAGTGCTCTACCACTGAGCCACACCTCAGCCCCTCACAGGAGGATCCTAGGCAGGTGCTCCACCACTGAGCCACACCCCAGCCCCTCACAGGAGGATCCTAGGCAGGTGCTCCACCACTGAGCCACACCCCAGCCCCTCACTGGGGGATTCTAGGCAGGGGCTCTACTGCTGTACCACACCTCCAGCCTCTTACAGGAGGATCAAGGAGGTGCTCTACCACTGAGCTGCGTCCCCAACCCCTGCAAACTCCATTTTGATGTGTTGGTGATACAATTGCTGGTCCTGGGGCTAGGACAGGGACATGCTGAGGAGGAGCACTGGGCCACCACAGGACATGATGAAATAACCTCTATCAAGTTATATGGGAAAGGATACAACTAGGTCTGAGGGAGCACAGCCTGTGCTGCCTAAACCTTGCTTTCCTATGAAAAGCAGGAGGGTGCTCAGAGTGGGACCAGCCCAGTGCATCACCGCTGTCTTTGAGAACAAGAAGCAGAGTCAACAGCTGGCATGTGGGACTCAGGTCCCTCCTCTGCTCCTTCGAAGCCCTCACCCCTCACCGCTCACCCCTGCCCCTTACTGTACCGTCTGGATCAGCAGTTCTAGGTCCCGAGCCTCAAATGTGTGCTGGTTCTGAGGGTCTAGGTGTTCAAACTGCTTCAGGAGGTTCAGGTGATCCATCTGCATATCTGGAGGATGGAAAGTCAAACAAAGCAACATGTATGACAGCCCCAACTCAGGGCAGGTGTGCAGAGAGGGAAGTCTCAGAGGATCAAGGGAATGGCCCACAGAGCCTGGGGCAATGCCAGAGGGCATCCTGGAGGAGGTGAACCTTCTACTGATCGGATGCTTGAAATACCCATAACCCTGACAACAGCCAACATGTCTACAGTGCGGAGTGTGTGATGAGCCCACATTAAGAATGATATCCTAGACCCATCACTGCAGCCTGGTGACATGGGTACCATGCTTAGCCCTGATTTACTGGGGGTTTTGTTGTTGCTTTTTATTTTTTTTTTTTGAGACAGGGTCTCCCTGTAGTCCCAGCTGACCTGAACTCACTATGTAGACCAGGCTGCTGTTGCTTTTAAGACTTTAAAAAAATATTTTCTAGAATGAAATAACTGTCTATAACTCCAGTTCCAGGGAAATCTGATGCTCTCTTCTGACCTCCATGGGCATTACACGTACAGGTACACTTATATACATGTAAACAAAACACTCATACACATAATGGCTATTAGCCACCATGTGGGTGCTGGGAATCAAACAAAGGTCCTCTGCAAGAGCAGCCAGTGCTCTTAACCACTGAGCCATCTCTCCAGTCCTTATTGTTTGAGACAGTCTCCCTGTAGCCACACCTGGCTTGGAACTCTCTATGTAGACCAGACTGGCCTTTGGCATCTGGCTTCTGACAGGTGGCACCATGTTCTTGAAGTTCATTCCCACTGTCCTGCACATCAGTTTCTCATTCATTTTTAGGGCTGCCTAATGTTCCACGGTGTGTGGATGGACCACATTTTACTCTCCCCAGCTGGTGGACATTCAGGTAATCGGTCCCTTTGGTCATCATGAGGTTTGCATTACTTCCTGGGTCGTTTTCCTCTGAGCACCAGGTATAAGAATGTGCCCCATGTAGGTGGACAAGCCCATCACCTCAGCTGCTTGGTAGGCTAAGGCAGATAGCCTGCAGGTCCCAGGCTGGCCTGGGGTGCAGAGTGAGTACAAGGCTAGCCTGGGCAACTTGGTGAGACCCTGTCTCAAAATAAAAAAGAGCTGCGGCAGAGCTCCTACCTAGAACCCACTATTGAGAGGCTGGTGGTATGGCTCAGCAGCAGAGGGCTTCTGTTTATTTTGTGTGTGTGTGCATATACACATGTGTGTGTGTCCATGTGTATGTCATGGTGTGTATGTGGAGGTCAGAGGACAACTTTGTGGAGTTGGCTCTCTTCTTCCACATGTGTGTTCTAGAGACAGAGCTCAGGTCATCAGGCTTAGGGCAAGCACTTTTACCCACTGACCCATCTCACCTGCCCTCATCACATTTCAATAAAGATATTTAAAAGAGGGCTGGAGAGATGGCTTAGCAATTAAGAGCACTGGCTGTTCTTCCAGAAGACCCAAATCCCAGAACTCACACAATGGCTAAGAACTGTCTGTAACTCCAGTTCCAATGCCCTCTTCTAACCCCCATGGGCACTGCATGACCCACGTACACTTACACACATGTAGGCAATACACACATACACATAAATAAAAATAATAAATATTTGTTAAAACAGGTATTTAAAAGAAAAAGTAGCCACCAGTAATGACCCACACCAGCACTGGGGAGATGGAGGCAGGAGGATCTGGAGTTAAAGGTTATCATCAGCTACATAGTGAGGCCCACTTGGCTACACAAGACCCTGTGTCAGAAAAGAAGCCATTCCCTGTCTCAAAATAAATAAATAAATAAATAAATAAATAAATAAATAAATAAAGTTAAGAGAGTAATGTCAGTGTGAATTGTGCCAGGAAGAAAACGCAAGCAACCTTCCACACATCTTCCAGGGAGCACCCCAACCCCAGCTGCCCAGTGCAAACCACCCAGGTACCAGCTGTCCACCCTTGCTCACTGGGCTCCTGCTCCGCATCCATCTTAGCCTTGAGCAGCATTCGCAGGCGTGACACCTCCTGTCGCTTGAGTTCATCCAGTTTGGTGCGGACATGATGGCTGACAAAGTCAAGCTCTCGGCTCAGCTTCCCGCTCTGCCAGGACAGAGATGGCGCTGGGAGGGAGTGTGCTCGGCAGCCCCACTCCACACCCTGTGGTTTCCAGCTTTTAGAAGCTCTGTGATACCATCTTCCCTGCTTGGGGCCGGCCCTTTGTTTCTGGGGCCCACAGGACCAGGGTGCAGCTTGAGCCTGACAGTGAGGCCCTACCTGCCTGAGGCCCCAGTTCTGGTCATACATCCAATTCAGCAGTGCTTAACTGGGAGTGTGCCCACACTCACAAGTCTGTTTCCTACCACAGGGCCTTTGCATATGCTCCCCACCCCTCAACCAATGCTACCTTTCAATATTCAGCATGGCTGGAATGTTCCTTGGAGAAGAGTCCCAGAATGCTAAGTGGGGGGCTTTCTCCTGACCATGCCTGTCATCTCCTGGACTCTGTTTCTCCACCAGAGCCCACCCTACCCTCTCCTGCTCAGGGCAACCCAGGGATCCCCAGTGTGTCTCAATTCCTCAGATGCCCTGCTAGATGCCCCACTTAGGGGGTGGAGAGCTGGCTCAGCGGTTAAAAGTACTGGTTACTCTTTCAGATGACCCAGGTTTGATTCCCAGCATCCACATAGTGGCTAACAACCATCAGCAACTCCAGTTCTAGGGGAATCTGACACCCTCTCTGACCTCTGTAGGCATTGCACAACATGGTGCACCTATCTACATACAAGCAATACACCCATACACATAAAATAAAAATAATAAAAAGGAGGAGGCTGAGCACTAGTGTTCATCTCTCAGCTTCCTGACTGTAGATGCGATGTGACCAGCTGCCTCACGCTCACTCCTTCCACCATGATGCCCACCCATCATGGAAGCATGCTCCAACTATGAACCAAGATAAACCCTTCACTCCTAAGTTGCTTTTGTCAAGTACTTTGTCCTGACAAGAAAAGTAGCTAAGGTGCCCATTGGACAGGGGCAGAGGAGGGTCAGCAGAACCAGGGCCACCTCTTTACAGAAGGGGAAACTGAGGCACAGCAAAGCCCTGTAGCTGGTAAGTGGTGGAACTGAGCCTGTACTGATGTATAACCCCATCTTTGGGGTTCTCCACACACCTTCCCAGCTGTGACCCTGAGGAATGCCCGCATCTCTGAGTTTCCCTTTTTGCCCCAAGTCTGGGCAGTGAGCAGGCCCTCCCCATAGCCTGTCCCCAGCCCACCTTGATGTCCTCAGCGTTGGCAGCCTGCAGCTTCTCTCGGAAGTGCCCATCTGTCTCCAGCACATTGATAACCTCCTGGAGGTATCTGTGGTAGTACAGGCCTGTGTCCTGAGGGACAAGGACAGACATAGCAGCCCCCACCTCACATTCTGTGAAGTTCTCTCCCTACCCCCAGGGATCATGGCCCAGCTTCCAAGGGGCAGCTGAGGGACCTCCCACACAGAGCAGGAGGTCTGCTTCCTGGGATAAGTGCTGAATTTCTAGACAACTTGTATTCCAAACCCAAGTGCTATGTCATCCCAGGGTAGCTCCTGACCCTCTGTCCCACAGTGTTGAGACCTTCAAGGGTTCTATGAAAGCCATTTGGGGGAGTGGAACCGGGAAGATGGCTCAGGCAATAAAGTGCTTCCTGAAAAAGCATGAGGACCTGAGTTCAATGCCCAGAACTCAAACACAGATAAAGCCAAGCCTTGGGGCTGAAGAGACGGCTCAGTGGTTAAGTGTGTTTGCTGCTCTTGCACAGGATCTATTTCAGTTCCCAGCACCCATGTCAGGTGACTAACAATCAGTGAGGACTGGTGTTAGGTGCTGGGAATCAAACCCAGATCCTCTGGAAGTCACAAGTGCTCTTAACCACTAAGCCATTTCTCCAGCCCCTATTATTATCATTATTGTTATTAATATTATTTGGTCTTTTTGACACAGGGTCTCCTGTAGCCCCAGCTGGCCTAGAACTTGCTATGTAGACCAGGCTGGCCTTGAGAGATCCACCTGCCTCTGCCTCTGCTGGAATTACAGGCATGTACCACCATGCCTGACAATTTTTCAAAAGATTTATTATTTTTTTCATTTTATGTGCATGAACGTTTTGTCTGCATGTATGTATGTGCAGTTTGTGTATGCCTGGTGTTAACACCTGGAGGCCTGAAGAAGGTGTTGGATCCCCTGGAAATGGAATAACAGATAGTTGTGAGCCTCAATGTGGGTACTAGGAGCTGAACCCAGGTCCTTAGCAAGAGGAGCAAGTGCTACTTGAGCCATCTCCCCAGCCCCCTTTTATTATTTTGAATTTTTGAAACAGGATCTCCCTATAGCCCCAGCTGGCCTGGAACTCACTATGTAATCAGGCTGGCCTTGAACTCACTATATACCTGCCTCCTCCTCAACAGTGCTGGGTTTAAAGGCGTGGATCACTGGGTGCCTGGCCCAAGCTCTAGCTTTTATCTTTCTGTTCCAGGTCCCTCAGCCTTTTGCTTTAGCTCTCTGCCTTGGGATAAGGATTTATCTTTTTTCCTCCTCTTCCAGGCTCAGTCCCTTAGGAATAAACAAGGGACAAGGACTGTGCTTTTTTTTTATACAATATTCTTTTTCCATGTACCTCTAAGGTTCATGGTAACAGGGTGGGATCGGAGCAGTGGCTGTTCTTGCAGAGGACCCAGGGCTTCGGTTCCCAGTGCCCACGTGGTGGCTAACAATCATATGTAACTTCAGTTCCAGAGGATTTAATGGCCTCTTCTGACCTCCATGGGCACTGCACGACACAGACATACATACATTCGTGCAATATACTCATAAAAATAAATTTAAAAACTTTAAATTATTACATTGTGTGTGTGTGTGTGTGTGTGTGTGTGTGTGCGTGTGTGTACGCGCACATGTGGAGGTTAGAGGACACCTTGCAGGGATTAGTTCTCTCTTCCACCATGTGAGTCCCAGGGATTGAACTCGGGTCATCACACTTGGCAGTGAGCACCCACCAAGCCAAATAACTTGACCCCACTCTGCCTTTAGTGAGCAGCTTTGTAGGCCAAGATGGCATGCCTTAGGGGGTGATGGACCTGAAACTTTTAAGATCAGGCCCCAATTTCTTCTGAAGGGAAAAGGCTACCGAACACAGTGCTCTCAGGACCCCATCATGTAGAAAACGGCATTTGCAGTGCTTCTTACTCTGAGGAAAAGCATCTTGGTCAACAGCCCTTAGCCTACCTCCTTGTTTTGAACAATAACTCTCAGATCTCACTAGCAAAAAGAATAGGCTGGGTTAAAAGTTTACTCCTGGTAGCCGGGCGTGGTGGCACTCACCTTTAATGCCAGCACTCGGGAGGCAGAGGCAGGCAGATCTCTGTGAGTTCAAGGCCAGCCTGGTCTACATAGTAAGTTCCAGGACAGCTGGGGCTACAGGGAGACCCTGTCTCAAAAAGACCAAAAAAAAAAAATAAAATAAAAAATAAAAAAATAAATAGATAAAAGTTTACTCCTGGGCTAAAAGTTAAAAGTTTACTATGTTCAAGTAAGCCTGAGTAAAGTCAAACATCCTGCTTTGCAAACAGCCCTTAGCTGGCACTAGCTAAAAGCTATATGGCCTGTTTCTTGTCTAATTTAAAATTTTGTATGTAACTGCCAAACCACATGTGACTGCCAGTTCCTTGTATTCTATAAAAACCTGCTGAATTTTTCAATAAACTTGACTTGTTGCAAGAGACTCTAAATCCTTCTATACCCCATTTCAGCTAAGTAGCTGGACTGACTGACTCAACACCCATCTTCCAAAGAATTTCAGGGTTTCAACTCCTGATACTGCCATGTTAGGTAGTTAAGCAGGTATTAATTGTCTTGGAAGTCATGGAGGATATTACATCATCAAATTTTGTCCCTCTGTAACTTTTTTTTGGGGGGGGGTCTTTTTTTTTGAGACAGGGTCTCCCTGTAGCTCCAGCTGTCCTGGAACTATGTAGACCAGGCTGGCCTTGAACTCACAGAGATCCTCCTGTCTCTGCCTCCTGAGTGCTGGGATTAAAGGCATGTGCCACCACGCCTGGCCCTCTGTAAGTTTTTTGTTTTTCTTTTTGGTTTTTTGAGACAGGGTTTCACTGTGTAGCCCTGGTTGGCCTGGAACTCACTATGTAGATGAGGTTGGCCTGGAACTCGCTGTGTAGACAAGGCTGGCCTCAAACTCACAGATCTGCCTGCCCCTGCCTCCCAAGTGCTGGGGTTAAAGAAGTGCATCACTGGGCTGGAGAGATGGCTCCGCGGTTAAGAGGACTGACTGCTCTTGCAGAGAACCCAGGTTCAATTCCCAGCACCCACATGGTGGCTACAAACTGCCCCTAACTCCAGTTCCAGGGAAATCCGAAACCCTCTTCTGACTTCCATGGCATTGCACACATAAAATAAAAATAATAAATAAAATATTTAAAAAAAAAAAAAAAGAAGTGCATCACTATGAGGGCCAGGTGAGGTGGCGCACTCCTTTAATCCCAGTACTTGGGAGGCAGAGGCAGGTGGATCTCTGTGAGTTCAAGGCCAGCGGCTGGGGCTACAGGTAGACCCTGTTTCAAAAAGACCAAAAATAATAATAATAAAAAAATAAAATACCACATGAAAGAAAGGAGAGTAAAGGTAATCAGGGCTTACCCGATTGAGACCCATTAAAGGAAAGGCACTTCCTCACATCAAAAGAATATAAACTAATCCTGGGCTGGAGAAATGGCCCAAAGGTTAAGAGCACTGGTTGTTCTTGTGGAGGACCCTGGTTCGATTCCCAGCACCACATAGCAGCTAACAACCAACCATAACTCCAGTTCCAGGGGGAATCCAACACCCACTTCTGACCTCTGTAGATATGGCACAACATGGGTGCACAGTACCTTCATACACATAAATAAAAATTTTTTAAAAATTAAAAAAAGGATTTCACACAGAATAAGGATTTCACTTGCTTATCTAATCAGACCACAAAATCAGGGACTTGGACCTTTAAAGTTGCAACCCTAAGAGCAAAGGTTTCATAGACATGTTGGAATGAGGAAGTCAGAAGTTTGTGTCATTTTGTAATTTAAAGTACACTTCCCATGACCTGTATGAAGCAAGAATACAACAGCTAGTTAGCTTCAGACTGCCTCTAGCACTACTGGGAAATGTAGCTTTCCTTTTGGTTTGTTTTCTAGATTCCTGGTTAAGTAAGGTTTTAAAAGAACAGATAGCTTTAGGAGAAGGAAATGAAACAGATTTTCATTTTAAATCTGACTTGATTCCCAAATCTTAGAAGCAAGGATCTCCAGGTTTGAGTACTGTTTGTTTGTTTTACTAAGTTGCTCCTGAAAAGGAAGGAAGGTAAACCACAAGTTGGATAGGGGATCCGTGGAGTTTGCACCAGGCCCCTGGGACGGCAGGCATGGCATCACTGCACGCGTCAGGAGCACAGTGCTGCACTCACCGGGCTCTCAGTGGCAGGGCTAGCTTCCTGCTGGGGCACCGCGCGGTCCAGCGGCACAGCCAGGGCACAGAGGATCAGCAGCGGTGGCAGGGTAAGGCACAGGACTGTGCGGGGCGCAGAGGGAGGCATGGTGACTGCTCTGTGCGGAGAGAGGGAGGATGGGCTTTTGCTGTTGTTTACAGAGACAGGCGTGATGTAGCCCAGGCTGGCCTTGAATTCCTGATCCTCCTGCTTCCCCTTCCCAAGTACTAGGATTGCAAAGACCACTCCCAGCAAACGTGTTCTCCCTCAGGGTCATCCCCACTTGCAAAAATGAAGACCCCAGGGCTGGAGAGATGGCTCTTAACAGAGGTTAAGAGCACTGGCTGCTCTTGCAGGGGACCTGGGTTCGATTCCCAGCACCCACATGGCAGCTAACAACCCGTCCATAACTCCAGTTCCAGGGGATCTGACGCCCTCTTCTGACCTACGTGGGCACTGCACGACATGGGTACACTTACACACATGCAGGCAATGCACTCGTACACATATAAAAAACATAATAAATAAAACATTTTTTAAAATGAAGACTCCAAGCGTCTCCTCGCATGAGACCCAGAGGCCAGGCCTCCAGTTCGCCTTTCCTGGAGCTCGGTCAGCAGACCCTCAAACTAGGTCACCCCGAGAACACCCTCCCCCGCACCCCCGCAGCTTCCCCTTTGGCTCAATGCAGCACCCGGGGCTCCGGCCCTTGGCCCCAACCTCCCCGGCATCGCCAGCTCTCCTACCGCAGAGGGCGTTTTCTCTGGCTGGGACCTTCACTGCCTTTCTGAAGATTTCCCTCCTAAGCCACGCCCACTTCCCACCCGCTCCTTGAACACTTATTGGTCCACGCTGGTTCCTGTCGCTTCCGCACCCGCCTCGTAACCCCGCCCCTTTCCTAAGTGACGCATTTATTTTTGCATAATCTGTCCTGATTTCTCGGAAACTCACAGTCCTCAAGCGATATTTCCTGCCTGGAGACGAAAAAAGTTGAGTTGAAGGTTTTTCAAAGAAAACTACAGAGCCTTTTATTTAGGCAGAAGACCAAAAACAAGGCAATTTCTACTGGCACGATGCCGCGGTGCCTCATGGGAGTTGTAGTTTTCTCGTTTTTCGCTTCACCAGTTCTTGTAAATTTAGGGGCAGGCAATTGGATAGCCTACCTTTATTACTATTTATTATAGATCCATTTTGTTGTTTTGAGACCCTCTCACTATGTAAACCTGGCTGGCCTGGAACTCACTGTGTATTCCAGGTCGACCTCGAACTCTCAGAGACCCGCCCGCCTCTGCCTTCAGAGTTCTGAGATTAAACCTCAAATCAATAGCTAAACTCCCTATGCTCCTTATGTATTTATGGATGGCCTTGAATTACTGACCTTCCTGGTTCCACTAAGTGATGACACATTCGCGCTCTTATAAATTTCTTTTTTAAAAATATTTTATTTATTGTGGGGTGTTGTGGCGCACGCATTTAGTCCCAGCAGAGACGGGCGGAACTCTGTGAGTTTGAGGCCAGCCTGGTCGATGTAGTGAGTGCTAGGCCAGATGGTGCTACAGGGAGACCCTGTCTCAATAAGACAAAAAAAAAAGTATTTATTATTTTTAAAGTTTTATGTATATGAGTGTATTGCCTGGATGTGTCTAAGGGCACCACGTTGTCCAATGTCCATGGAGGTCAGAGAGCCGTTGGATCCTCTGGAACTGGAGTTACAGGTGGTTGTTAGCCACCTTGTGGGTGCTGGGAACCGAACCTGGGTCCTCTGCAAGAGCAGCCAGTCCTCTTAACCTCTGAGCCAGCTCTCCAGCCCCTTTCCAAATAAAGCAGGGTGTGTAGAACTGGACTGAGAGGTGGATTCACCTGAGTCCCTTTAAGGAACGCCTTCCTGCCGTTCCAATTCAGAACACCCAGAACAAGAGTTCTTGTCTGCCTCAGTGGTCTGTGGGCATTACTCTGGTGGACATGGACCATGAGGGGTCAAGTGGGCCAAGACGAAGGCAAGTCCCCGTGGGAATCCCCTTTTCGGAGAATGGATCTGCCTGTCTTCAGAGTTTGTGCACAGAGATAAGGCCTTGAGCTCTTAGGAAGGAGAGAGTGAGGCTGAGCTCCCTGGCAGGAGGGTTCTGTGGGTTTGGGATATGGGACCCTGAGCCCTGGAGCACAGTACTTAGGTATAGGACAGCCTTGGGTACTTGGTAGAGAGAGCTGGATTTGTGGGCTCCTGAGAGTGCTTAAAGATAAACACAGGCTTCTGGGGCTCAGGCAGGAGTTGGACTTTCGCTTGATGGGGGTTCAGAAGAAAATTGAGCGGGAAGACGTAGGGCTAGGTGTTGGGGGCAGAGGTCACCACTGAGTTTTGGGGTCTCGACCTTGAATCTGGCTTCTTGTTCCTCTAGAAGGACTCAGCAAAATGAAAAGTGGAACAAAGAGTGAGAGACAGTTAGGGGAGTAACTTAAAACTGCGCCCCCTAGGGACACATTCAGCCTTGACCTCATAGGTACCCTCAGTTTTGTAGGAAGGTGTTGGGAACCTGAACTCCTGCGTCCTTTTCAGGGGGGTTATGGATGAAGACTCTTGGGTCTGAAAGAGGCTGGGGACCTGGAACCCCTGAGACGCGAGACAGTACGAGTCTAGGGTCTTTACTTGGGACCTAGCGGGCGGATACTGGGAGAAAGAGCATCGGTAACTGGCTAAGAAATCCTCAGATCCATGTGCTTTCTGTGACGTCACAGACCCCCAAATTGAGCAAGGGGAGGGGCTCTTGGACAGGCGAGACCCCTCTCAGCTTGCCGAGGTCACCAGCTTGTATTTCTCTCCAGGACCTTGGAGGATGAATTCACAGATGTGAGATTGCAGAAGTTGGAACAACAGGTATGGCCGGGTTCTCACTAATTCAGCGCTCCATCACCCCAGCCTGTCAGGAAGCCCCTTCCCCAGGGCTTGCTCAGAGACCTCAATCCTGTCCGTTTCCTCTAAACTTCAAGTTCTTCCACTGAAAAATGGGAAGATAGGAATTCGGCTTAATTTTGAGACAGGTCCGAGGTTTATTTATTCATTCTATCTATCTATCTATCTATCTATCTATCTATCTATCTATCTATCTATCTATCATCTATCTATCTATGTTTGTTAGAGACAGGGTCTCACTATATAACCCTGCTGGCGTGGAACTCACAGAGATCCTCCTGCCTCTGCTTCCCAAGTGCTGGGATCAAAAGCATGCACCACCATGCCTGACTTTAGTGTATGTGTGAGTGTATACTGGTGTCTGCAGAAGCCAGAAGAGGGTATCAGACCCCTTGGAGCTGGAGTTAGAAGCAGTTGAGAGTCACCCTATGTAGGAGCTGGGAAATAAACTTGGGTCCTCTGGAACAAGTGCTCCTAATCACTGAGTCATCTCTCCAGCCTAATTATTGTAATTATTTTAAAATTACATTTATTCATTTTTGGAGGGGCACACCACTGTGTGTGTGTGTAGGTCATAGGACAACTTGCAAGGAGTCAGCTTTCCTTCCACAGTGTGGGGCCTCACCCTGTAACCCTTACTGACCTCAAACATACTTCCTGAGTCTTCATGCCTTCCTTTGTATTTTGAGACAGGATCTCACTAAATTGCCCAGGCTGGCCTTGAACTTGCGATTCTCAGGCCTCAGGCTCCAGAGTAGCTGGGATGATAGCCCAGGCTGAGACCTGGAAATTTCAGGAACCAATGTTTGAGGGCTTTTTTTTTTTTTTTTTTTTTTTTTTAAGGAGATGATGACTGCAGGTTGGATCTAAGTAAAAAGGATCAGAGAGAGACTGAGGGCTTGGGCACCCGAGACCTAGTGGAGGGAGGGACATGGATTCACTACGCCTGTCTACCCGCTGGGTTTCTGCCGCACCCCTCACCCCATCTCTTTATTCTGCAGAGACAGTTATTAGAGAAGAGGCAGCACAGGAAACGCCAGGAGCCCCTCATGGTCCAGGCCAATCCGGATGCTTCCCTGAGGCACTGGCAACCCCGGCGCGGGAAGGAGCGCTTTCAGAGTGATAGCGGCTGGGGTCTGGGTCTGGTGGAAGGGGGTTTATGGGGAGCCCATGGGGCAGGGCCTAGGAGACATGTAGGGTGGAGCCTAGTGATGATCTGGGGTACAGGGTGGGGGCTGGGCTGCTAGAGGGTTTAGCCTACTACGTGTCAGAGTGGGGCCTAATTACACCATAGAGGTAGAGGGTGGGGCAGAGCTTGCTGGAATGCCAGGCTTAGGAGGGCACAGAGGCCGGGCTTAGTGAATTCCCAGGCAGGATCTGGTAGAGGACTGGGGTTTTGTTTTTGGTTTTGTTGTTGTTGTTTTGAAATGGAGGTCTCCCTGTAGCCCCAGCTGGCCTAGAACTTGCTCTGTAGACCAAGGTGGTTTCAGTCTCACAGAGACTGCTGGGATTAAAGGCGTTTCCCACCAAATCTGGCCAGGGCTGTGTTTTTTAGGAGCTAGGCCTATTCCAATAAGCAGGGCCCTTGAGATTACAGGGTCCAGGAACAGTACCTGGGCCAGGCATAGTGTAACTGGAGGACCAGGCCCAAGAGGATCCAGTAATTGGGTTGATCAGAACCTAGTGGAGTCTGAGGGAGCAGGGGTCTGCCTAGAGGTAAGTTGTGCAGGTAGAGCAGGTCGAGCAGGTAATTCTCTTTTTTGTTACTGAGCATCTGATTTAGGGCCATGCAAGTGCTTTACAACTGAGCTTCAACCCCAGCACACTTTTTGTTTGTGAGTTTTTGGGGTTTGTTTTGCTTTTGGTGGTGGTGGTGGGGGGTTCTCACTGGGTAGCTCAGACTATCCTGGAACTTGTTATAAGGCACAGACTGGCCTTGAATTTGAGATAATCCTCCTGCCGCAGATTACAGATGTGGTTCACCATGATTGGCTGCATAAATTTCTTTAATGGGCCTCTCTGCACTTTTTCCCAGGCCTTAGGAACCCTTTCCTTCAAGAGAACGTACCACAGGCACATCTGCCCTCTAGAGCCCACAGTGCCCTGGTCACCATGAGCTATGTTGGAAATGGCAGTGGGGAGCGAGCCCCCCTACTGACACCTAGAGGAGCAGGTGACCTAGAATTCTTACACCATCTGAAATTTGCCCCCTGTGGGATCTCAGGGGCTGGAGCCCCAATCCTTGCTTTCCAAATCTCTGAGTTCAGGATTCCACCCCCTTCCCCTACACAGAGGATGATGGGGTCCTCAGCCTCTTCTGGCACGGAAGGATCTTGACTTTGCAACTCTTCCTTCCCTAGCGTACAGTCAGGGGGAAAATGGCCCTGCCGTCCGCCACCTAGGCTGGCTCTCAGACAACTTGGACTCAGATGTGGAGGAAGCCAACATGGAGGACATCCCAGTGGTCCCACGACCTTACACAGCACATCTGGCAACTCGTCGCAGGAGTTGGTTAGCCTCCCCAGGACCTGGTTAGTGAGACAGGTCATCCCCCTCGTCCTTGGTAACAGCTTTGATATATGAGTCACAGGCCTCACAATTCACCTCTGACATCAAATCTATGCTATGGTGTATTCGGTGTACACAACCATAAACCACAACCAATTTTATTTTGTTTTATTTATTTTAAATATTTTATTTTATTTTTTGGTCTTTTTGAGACAGCGTCTCCCTATATATTTTATTATTTTTATTTTATGTGTAGGAGTGTATTGTCTGCATGTATGTAAGTGCACCCATGTAATGCAATACCCACAAAGGTCAGAAGAGGTTGTTGGATCCTCTGGAACTGAGCTGCAGACCGTTGTTAGCCACCATGTGGATGCTGGGAACCTAATGTGGGTCCTCTGCAAGAGCAGCCAGTGCTCTTAAACCTCTGAGCCATCGCTCCAGCCCCTTGTTTTTATTTATGTTAAAGACAGGGTCTCATTGTGTAACCCTGGCTGGCCTGGAGTTCATTATATAGACGAGGTTGGCCTCAAACTCACCAAGATCCATCTCCTGCCTTCCAAGTGCTGGAATTAAAGGCGTGCATGGTGGCCTGGCCTTATTTTTAAGATGTATTTTGATTTTAGTTATGTATATGTGGGTGAGTGTGTCTGTGTGTATACGTATGCACATGTGAGTATAGTAGCCGTATTGGCCTGAAGAGGGCGTCAGATACCCTGGAGCTGGAGTTACAGGCAGGCAGTTGTGAGTCAGACTTGGGTGCTGGGAACTGAACTTTGGTCCTTGGTGCTCTTAACTGCTGAACCAGCTCTCCAGCCCCTCAATGTATTTATTATATATTTTTTGCCAGTGCTGGGATCAAACCCAGGGCCTCATGCATGTTAAACAACTAACGGGAACTACAGCGCCAACTCCTCAATTTATCTTCATATTTTATTTTAAAAAAATTTTTTATGTGTATGAGTATATTGCCTGCACATATGTAAGTGCACCATGTTGTGCACTACCCGTGGAGGTCAGAAAAAGGTGTCAGATCCCCTGGAACTGGAGTTATGGGCATATGTTAGCTGTCATGTGGGAGCTGGGAATTGAACTGGGTCCTCTGTAAGAGCAGCCAGTGCTAACTGCTGAGCCAGCTCTATAGCCCCTCAATTTATTTTTGTTATGTTTTGTTTATTATTTTCATTTTTGTATGTGTATGAGTGTATTGCCTACATGTATGTAAGTGCACCTGTGTCATGCAGTGCCCATGGAGGTCAGAAGAGGGCGTCAGATTCCCTTGGAACTGGAGTTACAGATGGTTGTTAGCTACCATGTGAGTTCTGGGACTCAAACCTGGGTCCTCTACAGGAGCAGCAAGTGCTCTTAACCACTGAGTCCATCTCTCCAGACCCATTCAATTTTATTAGTCTTTTTAAAAAAAATATTTCATTTATTATTTTTATTTTATGTGTATGTATGCACATATTGCCTGCATGTAGGTAAGTACACCCATGTCATGCAATGCCTGCAGAGGACAGAAGAGGCTGTTGGATCCCCTGGAACTGGAGTTACGGGCAGTTGTGAGCTGCCGTGTGGGTGCTGGGATTTGAACCCGGGTCCTCTGCAAAAGTAGTCAGTGCTCTTAACTGCTGAGCCATCTCTCTAGCCCCCAATTAATTTTTTAAAAGTGTATGTCTGCTGGGCATGGTGGTGCATGCCTTTAATCCCAGCACTTGGGAGGCAGAGGCAGGCGGATCTTTGTGAGTTCGAGGCCAGCCTGGTCTACAAAGTGAGTTCCAGGACAGCTGGGGCTACAAGGAGACCCTGTCTTAAAAAGACCAAAAAAAAAAAAAAAGTGTATGTCTGTGTGTGGTGTGTATGTTCACATGAGTGTGTACCTGTATACTGTGTGCACGTGTGTGGAGACCAAAGATTGATATTGGGTGTGTTCCTTGATCACTCTGCACTTTATTTATGGAGGCAGAGTCTCTCTCAACCCACAGTTCTCTCATTTGGCTGGTCTATTAGCCACTTTACCCTGAGGATCCCTGTCTTAATCTCTTGAGTGCTGGGATTATAGGTGGGCAACCATACCTGCCCAACATTTACATGGGTGCTGGGGAGCCAAACTCAACTTTCACACTTGCAGGCCAAACACTTTATCCACTGAGCTGCTCTCCAGTCCGGAAATTGTTTTTTGTAGTCTGGGAAATAGAACCCAAGAACTTGGGTATGCTAGGCAGGCACGCTACTGCTGGACCACACCCCCCAGCCTCTCACTGGGGGATTCTAGGCAGGGGCTCTACCACTGAGTCACACCCCAGCCCCTCACTGGGGGATTCTAGGCAGGGGCTCTACCTCTGAGTCACATCCTTAGCCCTCTTTTTATTTTTCATTTTGAGACAGCCTCACTAAGTTGCCCAGGCTGGCTTTGAACACAACTCTGTAATGTAGCCTGGCCCTGAATGTTCCTTCTTGCCTTCCCTCAGGAGGAGCTGGGATTACTGGCCTGTAGTACCAGGTCAGGCTAGGACTTGTAATTAGTACTCCCCAATCCATCCCCACACATTACTTTCCCAATTTCTTGGTGACAAAGGTTTATTTAAAATTTTTACTTTTGTGCATGTGCCCATTGCCTGTAGGTACTTGTGGAGGCCAGAAGTGGGCATTGGATCCCCTAGTGCTGGAGTTACAGGTGGTTGTGGGTTGCCTGGCCTGCGTTGGGAACTGAACTTGGGTCTTTTTAAGTGCTGATCCATCTCTCTAGTCCCCCACCCTTTTTGTTTTTAATTAAAGATTTCCCTCCTCTGGGACAAAGTGGAGTGTATGGGGTAGGTTAGGCCCTGGATTTGATGGGGAATGGGGGGCAACTGGGTGCACACCTGTAATCCTGTAATCCTAGTAATTGGGTGGCAGAGGCAGGAGGATTGCCACAGGTTCTAGGTCAGTCTAGGCTACATAGTGAAGCCCTGTTTCAAAAAAGCAAAAATAATGGGCTAGAGAGATGACTCAGTGGTTAAGAGCACTGGCTGCTCTTGCAGAGGACCTGGGTTTGAATCCCAGCACCCACATGGTGGCTAATGACTGTCCCTAACTCCAGTTCCAGGGGATCCAACATTCCTCTCCTGGCCTCTGTGGGCATTGCATGACATGGGTGCACTTACATACATGCAAAATACTCAATATACGTAAAATAAAAATAAACAATACCAAAAATAAGCAACAACAACAACAACAACAACAAAATTAGGAACGAAGGCGGGGAAGACAGGAACTAGGGCTTCTCCCTGTCCTGGGGCTGAGGACAGGGCAATCAGAAAGTTTTTAGTGCTTTTATATCACATGTGGGTATGGCGTGCAGACGATGTGGTAAGTGGCAGCCATGTGGGTAAGAGGACTTGAGAACTCTAGTCTCTTCTACTTAACTAACACTGACATCCTGTCCTGAGCTCCTGGAACCCAGTTTTTTTTCTACTCCATAGTTATCAGTGAGGAGGAAAAAAATGAATCCAGGAATGTTGTAGTTGAACACGAGGAACCCAGTCCGGACCCAGCGCCTGTAATGAACCCTGATATGGGACATGGAGACTTGGCATCCTGCAAGGTGGAAGAAGACACAGCAATGAAGAATATAGAAACAAAGCCAGCTTCTGACGTTGTGGTAGGGTGGCACTAAAATGATTGAGCAGTCTGCAGAGCTATTTGCTCTGCTCTGGTGACTGAAGTATCAACAAGCATGGCGAAACTTGGGCATCGGGGGGAGGGTGTATGCTTATAATCCTAGCAGTCTGACAGGATTGACAGGACTGAGAGTTCAAGGCCAACCTGGGCTACATAAGGAGACTCTCTTCCCCCCAAAAGTACCTTATGGAAAGACAGCAAGTGTAGAGACTACAAAGTGTGATAGGATAGGGAAGGGTCATTTGGCATTCAACAGGACCTTGTTCATGCTTGGTAAATGCTCTAACACTGAACCACTGCCCAGCCCGTTGGGGGAGTCTAGGCAGGTGTTCTACCCGTGAGCCATGCCCTAATCCTTCACTGGGGGATTCTAGGCAGGGCCTCTGCCACTGAGTCACACCCCAGCCCCTCACTGGGGGAGCCTAAGCAGGAGCTCTACCACTGAACCTCACCCCAGCCCCTCACTGGGGGATCCTAGGCAGGGGCTCTACCACTGAACCTCACCCCAGCCCCTCACTGGGGGACTCTAGGCAGGGGCTCTACCCCTGAGCCACACCCCAGCCCCTCACTGGTAGAGATTTCTTTGTGTTTTGTTTGTTTTGTTTTGAACTGGAAATGGAATTCAGAGCCTCATGCAAGCTGTTTAAATACTCAACAGTGAGCCACACCCCAGGCCCTCGCTGGGGGATCCTAGGCAGGGGCTCTACCACTGAGCCACACCCCAGCCCCTCACTGGGGGATCCTAGGCAGGGGCTCTACCACTGAGCCACACCCCCGCCCCTCACTGGGGGATTCTAGGCAAGGGCTCTACCACTAAGCCACACCCCCGCCCCTCACTGGGGGATTCTAGGCTATAGGTCAAGGTGCAACCTTGAGCTGGAATAGCTAATTGGATTGCAGGCAGATTGCAGGGCTGAGCCTGACTGCCCCTCAACTTTTCATTTGATTGTGAGCTAGGATGAAGACCTGGAAAAGAAGAAAGAGGCCTCAGAGTCTGCAGAGACAAATGCCCCACTGGCAGCCAAGGTCGAGGTGTCCAAGGTCCCGCAAGGCAGTGGTGACACCAGCAACCACAAGATGTGGAACATGACCTGCATGCTGCCCCACACCCCAGGTCCTTGGCTAGGTGAAGACTTAGAGGCATATGTGCTGCTGCCCGCACCTCAAGAGCACATGGTGCAGTGCCGGATCATCTGCAACAAGCAGGGCATGGCCAAGGGCATGTTCCCTTCCTACTACCTCTACCTGGAGGCAGAGAACGGCGTCGCAGTACGCTCCTGCCCCTTGGGGGTGGGTAGCCTCACACTGGAGGGAACAGATGGGAGGGGACGCAGGCTCATCCTTCAGAGGCAAGTCCCCCCTTCCCTTTTTGGGGCAAGATTAGAGGTTTCTGGAGCCAGATGTGGCACACACCTGTAATCTTAAGGGAAGTAGAGGCAGGGGATGATCAGGAGATCAAGGTCAGCCTTGGCTATAAAGGGTTTCCAAACCAGCTTGAAGCAGTGTACATGAGACCCTGTTTCAAAAAAAAGAGCCAAGCATGATGGCACCTGCTTTTAATCCCCATTATGAAGAGGCAGGTGGATCTCTGTGAGCTAGAGGCTAGCCAGTGAGACCCTGTTTAAAAAAGAAAGAATAGAGTCAGGGTTGATGGTCATATGGTTAGGTCTCATCAGTTCTAGACCTGCCTCAGTGTTTCAATCTTCTCCTTATAGTTCCAGTGGCTTAAGCTGTACGTGCTCCATAACTAAGCCCTGTCCCTTCCAGAGTTAGACACTCATCCCTTCCTCCCCTTGAGATATATAGCTCCTTTCCTTTAGCCCTTTGGTGAGCCAGCTTGACCAAGCCTCAACTCAGTCCTGGGATCAGCCCTGCCCACCTGTCTGACCAGTCTCTTTCCAGTGCTGCTTCCTTAATCTCACCCAGAAAGAGGTCTTTTCCCTACTAAGAGCCAGACCTGCTTTTCCTGTGTAAAATATGTGATGCTTTATTCTCCTGAGCTAAGCCTGTCCCCAGGTCCACTGGCAGAAGGGAAGAAAACCCACCTGACTGTTTCCTTCAGTGAGGACATCCTCCAGGAAGTTCTGGCTCCCTGGGCTACTTCTCTTCTGTCATGACACATACCACCTCTCTGTCTTCCCATTCCTAGTTCTAGCAAGATACCAACAACCTAGGCTGACAAGCTGTTCTTTGATCTGCAGCACTTCCTCTTAGCTGGACGGAAAAGGAAAAAGAGCAAAACCTCTAATTACCTCATCTCCCTAGACCCCAAAGACTTGTCTCGGAATGGGAACAACTTTGTAGGCAAAGTCAGGTAGGTCAAGCCCTGATGTATGGCAGGTGGCAGGGAGCTGAGGAGCTGGACCACATTTCCCAGCAGGCCACAGAGCACACCTTGGCCTCTGCCCTGAGGCCTGATGGGTTTTGTAGATCCCTGTGTTAGATTTTGGAGAACAGAGAAAGGAAAGAATTTCGAGTTTAGGAATAAGAGTCAGAGTCAGACCTGCAACAGGTTAGGAATGCGTCCCTTTATTCAGGAATCACAGCCTAGGACAGAAGTCTTGCCTTGGGAATGAGGGATCTGCATCAAAGGCAGGGGAGGCTTGGACTTATATAGGAACCTTGTTGAACACAGCTACAGGAGTCAACTTGGTGTCAGGCTCTGGTGTCCGTGGGTAATAAGAGGGTTTCTCTCCCAAGATTATTTTCTCAGGCATGTGAGCTATCTTAGCGTACTAAAGACAAATTGGCTCCATAACCAATCTCTTTCGGTCCTGGGAGTGACCAGTTGATAAGGCTTGTACAAGGCCAGCCTGCCAATTTGGGGCCAGTTAGCCACTTTAAGGGATTTATGACTTTGTAGCTTCCCTTAATGAAGCTTATGGCTCTCCTGAAATTCACACCTTCTATTACCCTGCAGGTTGCATTTTCCCAGAGTTGGGAAGGGAAGAGCTAAACCCTCTGGATGCCATGAAGGCTGGCATTTAAGATGTTTCTCTTTTAGGGGGCTGAAAAAGGTCTGGGGTGTGTTTTTGTTGTCTAGAGGGAAGAGGGTCCCTAAAGGACCAAGGTTAGTGACTAGAATAATAATGCTCACCCAAGAAACAGAGGGCTAGGGACAATGATCAACAGGGAATGTGATTCTTACCTAGGGATTGGTTTGAGAAAGTATTTAACATACAAAGAGGTAACGATAACTATTCTGGTCATTATAATTCTATCCACCTACCCTCCTGGGGCAGATCCAATGTCCTGGGTACGAAGTTCACCATCTTTGATAATGGGGTGAATCTTGAGCGCAACTACTGTATCCCAGATAATGCCCGGATCAGAGAGGAGCTGGGAGTTGTGTGTTATGTAAGTGTCCTGTGGAGGTGGTGGTGGTGGTATAGATGAATGGGTAGAACAGAAGAAGGCGCCAGGTCCACTGGAATATGATGTAATCCTCCCAGGAGACCAACATCTTGGGATTCCGGGGGCCTCGAAAAATGACCGTGATCCTCCCAGGAATGGACAGTCGAAAACAGAGAATGAGAGTTCAGCCTCAAAATGTGAGTTTTTAAGGTTAGGAATCTTAGGGCTGATAGAGAACGAGTCGGGGACCCTGTCATAGATCTCAGGGAGGTTGGGGAGTGGTTTGCAGATAACATGTGACACTAGGAGGACTTTGCCAGACTCCAGCCTCAGGGGGTAAAGACTTAGAGACTGTCAAATATTTGCATGTGGCAGAAAAAGGGGGCTGCTGCTAGGCTAACAAATGAGGTTCCTTACTGTACTTTGAAGGGTGACGACTCCATATTGAGTTGCTTCAAAAAAGGTGCTAGACATGGGCTGGTCCTGCTGCAAAACAAGGCCCCATCATGGAGCAATGAGAGTGGCGCCTACGTGCTTAATTTTCACGGACGGGTCACTCGGGCCTCGGTCAAGAACTTCCAGATCATGCACCCGGATGAACGTGAGCTTCCGGCAACCCACTGACTGAGCCCTAGGGGCGTGCCTAATCAAGAACTACTACTCCCATAAGGCCCTGCGCAATTTCCTATGCAGAGAGGGAACCAGGTTGTCGCAAAGCCTATTGGGAGATGTAGTTTATATGCCTCGGGTTTCCCCACCTTTAGGGTAAGGCTTCTTGGCCTCCTCCTGCTGCTTCTCCTTCATTCTCCTCCTTCCTCTGCCCTCCTTTCCCTAACCCCTTCTTTCTCCCCATCCCTTTCCCTCCTTCCCCCTTCATTTCTGCAGTGGAGAGTCAGGAGCTTGATGGGTCTGGCTTAGGCTTAGCTCCTGACTTCCTCCTCAGCAGACCACCTGGTGCTCCAGTTCGGCCGTGTGGCCTCAAACGTATTCACTATGGATTTCCGATATCCGTTTTGCCCACTCCAAGCCTTCGCCATCTGCCTATCTAGTTTCGATAGAAAACTGGCGTGTGAGTAATTGAATAAAATACCAACCCTCACCAGCTTCTGGCCTGTGTGTTTGGAGAAAGATTCCCACATGCCTCTCTCCTTTTTAGTTTTTTCTTTTTTTAATTTTTTTATTAGTTTTATTTTATGTATATGAGTGTATTGCCTGCATGTAAGTGAGTGCACCCGTGTCGTGCAGTGCCACGGAGGTCAAAAGAGGGCTTCGGATTCTTCTGGAACTGGAGTTAAGGGCGGTTTGCAGCTGACATGTGGGTGCTGGGACTCAAACCCAGGTCTTCTGCAAGAGCACTCAAGTGTTCTTAACCGCTGAGCCATCTCTCCCGCCCCTCCTTTTGTTTTTTGATACTGAAATACTCCCAACAACTCACTGTGTAGCTGAGGCTGGCCTTGAACACCTGATCATCTTGCCTCCACTTGAGTGCTGGGATTATACTCATGCACCATCAAACCTGGCCTCCTCTTATGATTTTTTTTAATAAAATTTTTTGTTAGCCGACAAAATAATGGGTTTCACTCTGACATTTTCACACATGTCATCATCGTACCTTGCTCATAATCACCTTCCTTGTCCCCCCTCTTTTTGGTTTCTGAGACAGTCTCTGTAGGCCATGCAGGCACTGGAACTCAATCCTCCTGCCTCAGCCTCACAGTCCTGGGATTACAGTTGTGTGCCACCATGCCTGTCTCCCTATGGTCCCCCTTTTTAAAATTTGGGTCTCACATAGTCTCACATAGTCCAGGCTATGTGTCCAGACAGGGTCTCACATAGTCCAGGCTAGTCTGGGACTCACTGAAGATGACCTTGAACTTGGTCATCTGCCATCACCTCCCAAGAGCTGGGATTCCAGGCATGGAATGGAACCCATTCCATGGGATGGGATGGGATGGAACCCAGGGCTTTAAGCATGGTAGCCAAGCACCCTACCAGCTGAGCTACTGACCCCCCATTTTTTTTTTTTTTTGGTCTTTTTTGAGACAGGGTCTCCCTGTAGCCCCAGCTGGCCTAGAACTATATAGACCAGGCTGGACTTGAACTCACAGAGATCTGCCTGCCTCTGCCTCCCAAGGGCTGGAAGTAAAGGCGTGCGCCACCATGCCTGGCTCAGCCCCTTGTATTTTTTTGTGTATGAGTGTTTTGTCTGCATGTATGTAGGTATACCATGTGCATGCCTTGAAGATCAGAAGATCTCCTGGAGTTACTGCTGGTTGTTAGGATCTGTTAGCTGCTATATGGGTGCTGGGAACCAAACTTGGGTGCTCTACAAGAGCATCCGGTGCCTTTAACCACTGAGCCATCTCTCCAACCCCCAGCCCTTTATTTTTGGAGACAATCTGTGTAGCCCACACTGGCCTTGAATTCACTTTTTAGCCCCAGTGAACCTCAAACTCAAGATCCTCCTGTGTCTGCCTCTCAAGTGCTGGGATAACAGGCCTGAGTCATACACACCTGGCTTGGAGTCCTAAATGTGAACTAGGGGAAGTTCTGAGGAACTCAGCTGTGTGGAGACAGACCCCCTAGAGGGAGGCAGACCCCTAGATCTAACCTTTTCTATCCAAAGCTTAGTAACATGTTAAGGAGATGCCAGAGGAAAACCCACAAACTCCATTACAAATCAAAAGGCTTTATTTCTTATATAAACCAACACAAAATAAATAACAGGAAACTACTTGGACTTAGCCACATCTCTCACTGAGGTCAGGGCTGGGAAGTGGGGTTTCACCTGGAGATGATGGAGAGGGTGTGGCCTGGGCTGGGGCCCGAGAGGGGTGGGCAGAGGAGGGAAGCAAGGTCTCTGGAAGGGCAGGCATGGGGGCCAGAGGAAGGGGTGGGTTTCCTAGGCGTGCCCAGGCTCTGGCCCGGGAAGCTGGGGTGAGGTAGGGGCCCAGCTCCTCCTGGGCACGTGCAATTCGGCGGGCAAAACGACTTCGATCTCGGGCAAACTGTTCCCATGGGCCACGTCGGGCAGCCTGGGCAGGCCCTGCCCAGACTGCGAGGACATGGACTGTGACATTCTCAGAGAAGTGTACCTGGATACAGACAGGCAGAGAAGGATCCGACGTGGGAGGGTGGGAGAGAAAGAAGGAAAAGTGAGTCATACAACGCTTGGCATCTGGATAGTCACCTGCCCATACCTCTGTCATTGACTCACTGAGGTCACAGACTGCTTCCTGGCTTGTGGGCCACAGCTGCCACCAGCTCCCACTGGGGCCTGCCTCTTACACAGGATTGCAGAGGGTGAACACAGCCTTCCCAACTGAGTTCCTATGCAACCAGCTGCAACACTGCCCCCTTAGGGAGTTCCAGGCCCCTCCTCCTGCTGATTCAGAATCTATGCCCTAAGCTTAAAGCCCAGCTTGGTGGCACACTAATCCCAGTACCAGGATTGCAAATTCCTGAGCTACAAAGTGAGCCATGTCAGACAACATCCAGGCCGTTGGCAACTCACCTTTCTAGTATTTAGGGGTGACTCAGGGTCTGGATCCTGAGTGGGGGCTTCTGACAACCTGAGTCTCCTTTGTAGGCGAAGGGGCAATTTGGGAGGAGCCCAGGGTGGGGTTGGCTTCTCCCCAGGTAAATAGAAGGCAACATGGAATGCTGAGGGCTCTGCTTCCCCGAGTCCCTCTCTCTGGGTCTTCTCTCCAGGTAGACAGCCCCAGGCCTGAAGGGGTGGACCCCTGAGGGATTCAGCTGCTTCTCTTCCCTCAGTGGCTTCTGAAGCATCCAAGGCCACATGTGCCTCACAGTTGTCCTCCTCCTCCTCCGTGTCCTCCCCTGGGCAGTAGACCCAGGCCTTTAGAAAAGCACTTGTAGGGGGAGTGGCACAGGAGGCCTCAGCGTCTTGGTCTTCCTGGGCTGATTCAGAATCACTGTCCTCTTCCTCCTCAGTGTCCTCTCCCGGGTGATAAACCCAGGACTTCAGGAAGGCACTTCTATTGAGGGTGGATGAAGAGGCCCCAGCTTCTCCTTCTCTGTCAGCTGACCCCAAATCCTTGGCCTCTTCCTCCTCAGTGTCCTCGCCAAGCTGACACACCCAGGCCCCAGCGTCTTCCTCTTCCTCAGCTGATCCCCAGTCACTGTCGTCTTCCTCCTCTGTGTCCTCTCTTGGTCGATACACCCAGGCCTTCAGGAAGGCACTTGTAGGGACAGACGAGGCCTCAGTGTCTTCCTCAGCTGATGGCAACTCAGTGTTCTGATAGTCCTCTTCGTCTGTGTCTTCTCCTGACCAACACACACAGGTCTTCCCAGCGGAGGTGGAAGAAGTCGAACCCTCTGCTTCCCCCTCTGGCTCAGCTTCTGCCTCAGCACTGTCCTGATCCTCTGAGCTCTGACAAGGCTGACAGTGCTCGGCCCTCTGTGGCTCTGCATCGGCTTCTCCTTCTTGCTTAGGCCCCTCTCTAGAGGGGCACGCCCAGGTTCTAGGGTGGGAGACAGAAGATGAAGGGAAACTGGGGGGGTCCCTAGCTTTATTTTCTGCTCCTTTTTCCTCCGTGGCTTGATGTTCCCCCTCCCTTGGGCAATACACCCTGATGCTGGGTGTGGATCCTGAAGAGAGCTGAGGAGAGGCTTGGAAAGCTGCTTTCTTCAGGGTTTCTCCATCCTCCTCTTTCTCGGCTGCTGGATAAACGTCTGGGTGTGATGTGGGATAAGCCAGCTCAGTCACTCCCTCTTCACCAGGCACCACCTCGCCAGGGCTCTTATCAGCACCTTGCAGACCTGGGGGCTGTGGAGCAGGCAGGCTGGCTGTGTGTTCCCGCTCCTGCTCTCTGGAGCCATCTTGTCCTTGGTTCTCACCATATTCACCATCATCTGAAAGTCCCCAAGTTTCTGCAGGGGAACTATTTTCTCTCTGGTCGAAGCAAGGGCCCTGGGTTGCTTCTCCACCCTCCCCCTGGGAAGCAAGGGGAGGTATCGACAGACCCTTGGCCTCTCCCTGACCTACTCCTGTTGCCGTGTCCACCAGCCAGGCCTCTGGGACTCCTGGGCCCCTCAGGCGACTCCAGGCCCGGCTGAGGAGGCCCATCAGTGGAGAGAGGAGGTAGAAGGAGTGGGCATCCCTCCAGTGAAGGGTATGATGAGGTACTGGGCCTGGGGCCATGTGTCTGGGCCAGAAAGAAAAGAAATTAAGTTTAGAAGCTACTTAGGGAATGGCATCAGGCATGGCCCTGAGTCATAGCAACAGGGACAGTCACAGCAGCAACACAAATAGCCTCAAATTCTTGATAGGACTTGTCCACACCCCTCTCTACCCTTGGTTCTTGTCTCTCAATACCCAGGAATCCCAGCCCTCAGTTCTCCATCCTTAGATCAAAGAGCCTAGTTTCCCACCCTTCAGTCCCAGAAGACCCAACCCATGAGGCCAAGATTTTTACTTGCTTCCTTTGGGGAAAAAAATAGCTCCCAGTTCTCACTCTCTTAAGCAATGACAAATCAGGTCCCAGAACCTTCCCGATTTGGAAACTTAAAGCATCTTTGTTTGCCACATTGGGGATTGAAGCTAGGGCAAAAACTCTCTCCTTGAGTCCCAGTCATGTTGGAACATGAGATGGCTAGGTAAATTTCCCAGTTGGCCTGGAACTTCTGATCAACCAGCCTTAGCTTCTCAAGTAGCCGAGCTTACAGGCGGACACCACTCAGCCTAGCCAGGGCATTCCTGACCTGCCACCCCTAAAGAGCTGGACCTCAGGCTTATGCATCAATACCTTCTCCTGCCTGTCTTTGCCTCAGGCCACTCCAGACCCTAGAGTCCTTCCCTTTAAACTGCTTTACCCAGGCCCAGGAATTCCAGCATCCAGGGCCCCTTCCCTCTAAGCAGAAGTCCAGCCCTCAGCCTCCCTCCCTCAGCCTCCCGAGTCCTCCCCAGCCTCGGCTTCCTCAGACCCAGGTATCCAGATCTCAGCGTCCTCCCTCAGACTCCTGAGTCCTCCTCATTCTCCCCAGGATCCAGATCCCAGCCGCCTCCCTTAGAATCCTCCCCAGTCTCCCGCCTCCTCCGTGCGTCGTCCTCCCTCAGGCCTCTCTCCTCTCCCGATCTCCCTTCTCCTCCGTCCTCCCCCCGCCACGTCCACGCACCGGCGGCGTCACCCCGGGGGCAGGAGCGCCGGCTCGAGCTGCCAGGAACGGTCACGGGTCGGGATGGCTCGGGAGGCCGGCGCGCTCATGTCGCCCTCAGGCACGGGGCTCGGGGACTCGCGGTCACGGGCGGCGGCGACAAGGACGCGGGGTCGCGGCGTCTCGCATGAAAACCTCCACTAGTTAGGAACAGGGTAGCTGTACTCCCGCGACGCCCGCACCGCTTTTATAGACGGAGGCGCCTGCGTGTCGACGTCACCGCATACGTCACCGGAGAGGCGGGGCCTCGAAATACCCCTTGAAAGAAGGAAGGGCGAAAACAGCACGGGACTTCTGGCAGAGTCCCGGCCCTGTGACGTCACCGGGCCTTTCCCAGCACGGCCACGCCCCCGAGCCCTGAGAGCCGTCAATCTCGCCCGTTTTCCGAACGCCTCGTGCCACTTTTGTGTTTGTTTTCTTGTTCCAGATTTTATATTATTGGGGGGGGGGGGGGGGTTTAAAAAAAAAACCAAATTGGGGGCAGTCCACAGCGCTTTGGGGGGGGGGGGGAGGATTAAAAAGAAAACCGAACTTGGTGCAGTCCTCAGGCTGCGAACCAGGAGAGGAGGTAGTCACTACGAAAGGGGTTAAGCCAAGCTCACTGTTCGCTTTTTTAAGAAAACTTCTTTTGACAGGGACTCATTTTGTACCCCAGGCTGGCCTGGAACTCACTATGCAGCCCCAGCTGAACTTGAACTTGTGTAGCTCAGGCTGGCCTGAAACTCTTAACAATCCTGTCTCAGCCTGCCTGGGGTTACAAGTATAAGCTCAATAAATTGTGCATGAACGACTGGTAAACGGACTCAGCGTTTTCAGGCATTCCTCACTGCCTGGAATTTATACAAAAGCTCTGCTTATGCCAATTGAGATTCTGATTGGGTGGCTCGCCTCCTGTTGGGGTGGGGCTCTACTAAAATTCCAGATGCAGAGACCCAGTTTCAAACCTCCCCTCTTCCCTACCTGGCTAGACACACCCGGCGTGTGTGTCTGTGAGCGTGTGTCCGTCTGTGTGTATTTCTGGGGATGAATCCCAGGGCCTCACATGCTAGGTCAACGCTCTTCCATTGAGCTACGCTGGAGCTCTGGTCTATAGCCTTGCTCTCAAAATATACCTGGGCACCATGTCTACCTCCTGACTGGGTTGTCCTAGGTCAGAACAGAACTGTCCCCCAGATCTGAGCGATTTGATTTACTTATTTTTATTTTTTGCGCGTTTGTAAGTGCACCATGTACAGTGCTCTCAGAGGCCAGCAGAGGGTGTCAGAGTCGCGGGAACTGGAGTTAGGGGTGGTTGTTAACTGCCATGTGGATGATTGGAACCAAACCTGGCTCCTCCATAAGAGCAGCCAGTGCTCTTAACCACTGAGCCATCTCTCCAGACCCAACGGGAAAACAAAAAGTTTTTTTTTTTTGTTTTTTGAGACAGTCTCCCTATGTAGCATTGGCTGGCCTGGAACTCACTAGGATTAAAGGTGTGCACCACATCCGGTACCTGAGAGATTTGAAACTGGCCAGAACTCAAGTTCTGGCTATCTCCTCCCTCCTGGACTAGTACTGACCATCCCCTACCCATTTGGTCAAAGTCACACATTTGGACAGAGCATCAGGGCCCAGGAGGTGTGATTTCTGGCTCATACCTTCCCAGGCATCCACCAGCCAGGCTATATCCCATCTCTCCCGGTTCAGGAGTCCATCAGAGGCCCCATTCCTCCAAAGACAAGGCTCCTTCCTTTGGAAGATGGCTGGATCCCAATCACAACAGTTCCCTGGGGTTCACTGAAGTTCTGTTCCAAATGGTGAGGCATCCAGGGGACGGAGGAATTGGGGTGCCCCCAGCTCCTCTCCTCAGCTGTGGGGGCAGCTGAGTCAGGGGTCAGGCTGTGGTGGGGAGGACAGAAGGGGCGGGGACAACCAGGATTGGGAGGGGAGACTGCAGCGTGGGCGGCTGGCAGAGAGGGAAAGCCCAGAGGAAAGAGAAACTTGGAAAGTGAGGAAGAGGATGTGAAAGAGAGGAAACAGCAGCTATGCTGCAGGGCTAGGGAGGGAGGAAGAGACTGAGTGTGTGGGGAAGGGGGGAAGAATGAGTTAGGAACGGTGAGATTAGGAGAGGAAAATATTGGAGACAGACGGTGACAGCGTGGGCGGCTGGCAGAGAGGGAAAGCCCAGAGGAAAGAGAAACTTGGAAAGTGAGGAAGAGGATGTGAAAGAGAGGAAACAGCAGCTATGCTGCAGGGCTAGGGAGGGAGGAAGAGACTGAGTGTGTGGGGAAGGGGGGAAGAATGAGTTAGGAACGGTGAGATTAGGAGAGGAAAATATTGGAGACAGACGGTGACATAGGCTTGCAAGGGGGAGAGAGGAGAGAGAGAGAGAGAGAGAGAGAGAGAGAGAGAGAGAGAGGAGAGAGAGAGAGAGAAATGCAAATATCAGGTGAGGACAGATACCAACTCTGAGACGCAGCATCTGAGACACAAAGAGAGGTGACAAACCCCTGTCACTGGAACCCCAGAGCCGGGTAAGTCCCTGGCTGGGCTAGGAGGGATTTGCCTGGGTACACATTCCTGGTGTGTCAGGACTTGGTTTGGGGAGTTGGCAAGGACAGTTTGGGGGTTCACATGGGAGGAAGGACAGGTAGCCTGGGGGTACCTGGAAGGAGGCAAGGGATGAGACCTCTATGCAGAGGGGGCTCACATTCCTGGCTAAAGCTCAGTGGGCAGGCATAAAGAAACCCCTATTCTTGTGGCTGGGCTGCAGACAGCTGCCCCCTCCCTGCAGCTGCCAGAGCCGCCCACCTCTCTTGGCACTACTTTTGGTATGTGATCCGTGGTCATGGCCTCCCCCCACCCCCCAATTCCCTAACAACAGTCTCTTTCTCCTCCACCTCCTCCGACCTCCCAGCCCTGACCCCAACTCTGTCCCCAGCCCCCATTATCAGAGAGACACAGCCCCTCTTTCTTCCCCTCTCTCTCTCTCTCTCTCTCTTTCTCCCCTTCCCAAGCTCTTGATGGAGGAGGGCCGACCTCGGAGCAGCCTCAGCCTGGCCAGCAGCGCTTCCACCATATCCTCACTGAGCAGCCCGAGCACCAAGGTCTGTCTGAGCTTTGTGATGGGATTGGGGAAAGGGGGTGGCTCTGTGCTGCCCCGTCTGGGTTTCCTACCTTGTGGGTTCTGCACCATTCCCCAGGAACTCCATTTGTTAAGGACAGCACTAATGAAGGGGGTCTGCCAGATGGGTCCCAAGCTGAGTATCAGCTGCAGGCGGGAATTTGGAGACACTCCCAGCTCTGTCCCCATCCCTCCCAGTTTTCCTAATTCTAAGCCAGAGGAACAAGTTTCCTTGACCTTGAACTGAAAGGAGGTCACAGGACTAGGGGACTTCATGTCCTGTCTATAGGCATCAAACTCACCCACTAATGAAACCCAAATAAGTCAATATAGCCTCATGTGCCTCCCCCAAGGTACTTTCATAACAAGTGTCACGTAGAACCTGGGCAGGGTAGTGAAAACCAGTCATCCCAGCACTTGGGAGGCAGGAGAGGAAGATCTGGAGGTTAAGGCTGGCCTTGGCTACTTAGCCAAGAGCTCCCCCCCCCGCAACAAAACAAGCCAGGGACTAGGGATGTAGTTCACTTGGTAGAGTGCTAACTTGGCTTGCACAAGGCACAGCACTACATAAACCAGGCATGGTAGTGCACAACTATAATCCCAGCACTGGGGAGGTGGTGGCAAGAAGATCACAAGTTCAAGGTTATCTTTGGCACATCAAGTTGAGACCCAGGTGTCAAACTAAACAAACCAAATTTGGCACAGTGGTGCAAACCTCTAATTCCAGAACTCAGGAGGTAGAGGCAGGAGGACCAGAAGTTTGAAGCCAGCCTTGGCTATATAGTGAATTTGATAACAGCCTGGGCTACAAGTAAGTTTACCTTACTCCCTGTTCCTTTCCTCCCATGTCCAGTTTTCCAAGTTCAGAGTCCAGAGATTTGATCCTAGCCTTGGTCAGTCCACTTGAACTCCCTGTGTAGCCAAGGATGACCTTGAACTCTGACACTTCTGCCTCGACCTCCGAAGTGCTGGGATTACAAATGTGCATCACCGCCCTTGTTTTATGTGGTGATGGGGCTTGAACTCAGGGCTTTATACATGCCAGGAAAGCACTTTACCAACTGAACTAAATCCCCAGCCAAATTTTCTTCCTTTTTTGGTCTCTCTGTAGCCCCAGCTGTCCTGGAACTCCCTATGTAGACCAGGCTGGCTTAGATTTTAGAGATTCTCTGGTGTCTGCCTCCTGAGTGCTGGGATTAAAGGCGGTGCACTACCATGCCCAGATGACCTTGAATTTCTGACCTTCCTTCACCTCCCGAACTCAGGGATTAAAGGCGCGCTCACCTCTTTAAAAAAGTTTGCGTGGTGACTCTGTAGGACTGGCTGGCCTGAAACTCATTGTGTAGTCCAGGCTGGCCTCTAACTCAGAGCTCTGCCTGCCTCTGCCTCCTGAGTGCTGGAATTAAAGGTGTGCCATGATGCTGGGCCTCATTTTTTTTATTTACTTATTTTTTTATGTGCATGAGTGTTTTACTTGTATGTATGTAAACATGCACCCATTTCATGCAATGCCAGCAGAGGGTGTTGATTCCTCTAGAACTGGATTTAGAGATGATTATTAGCTTGTTATGTGGGTGCTGGGAACTGAACCTGTACCTGGGACCTCTGCAAGGGCAGCCAGTGCTCTTGACTGCTGAACCATCTCTTCAGCCCCTAAAAATGTTTGCTTTTTAAGACAGGGTCTCACATAACCCAGGCTATCCTAGAACTCACTATGTAGCTGAGGATAAGCTCGAACTCCTGATCCTGTCTCTACTTTCCAAGTTCTGGGGTTACAGGCATATTCCACCTTTCCTGGCTTCTAAGAGCAGTCCATTTGGGAGGTGGTCTCAGGATTGCTCCTCCCTTCCATACCTGTCTGTCCTCAGAAGCCTACGCGTGCAGTCCACAAGATCCACACCTTTGGGAAGAGGAACAATGCGCTGCGGAGGGACCCCAACTTGCCTGTGCACATCCGAGGCTGGCTTTATAAGCAGGTAGGGTTGAGGGGAAGGCAGAGGTTCCTGGACACTGGGTGATAGATAAAAATGTTGGAGAGAGAGAGAGCATGCGGTGGAGAGCACGAGCAGACGGATGAGGCACCGGGTCTCGGCACCATCTGATAGGTAGAGAGTGGGAGAGAGCGAGTGGATGGATGGAGGAGGCACCGAGGCACAGATGGAATTCTCAGCGGGATACAGATTTATTTCGCATGAGGCACCCTTCCCTTGGGGAAGGGAAAGATGTCAGGGAAGGGAAGGGAAGGATGTCAGGGAAGGGAAGGGAAAGATGTCAGGGAAGGGAAGGGAACCCTCAGGCAGGCAATACTTGTCTGATAGAAGCAACCATCCCTCTGTCCCTGGGTGGCCCTTTTGTCCAGAAGGCTCCTGCACTACTGTGCAGGAGAGGAAGGGGACATTCCTGTTGGTGCCAAGAAATGTAAACTATCAGAAGGGGGGAGAGTCATACTGGCTTCCTTAGCATTTATTGTCTGCTAGGTCATTGCCTCTAGCTATGGAATAGGTGAGAGGCTGATGCCCCCTACAATGAATCACAGCCACTTTAGTCTGGAAGTAGGAAGCTTCCAGGATTTTAAGAATCAAAGGTCTATTAGTCATGGGGGTTCCCTTGGTTGTTAGGAGACCTCTTTCCTTCCATACTGAGGCGTGGTGATGGAGTATATGGAAGGCACACTTAGAATCTGTAAAAATATTAACCGTCTGTCCCTTGGCTAAAATCAGGGCTCTGGTGAGTTCCACAAGTTTGGCTTTTTGTGACGTGGTTCCATGTGGCAGGGGTCCTGACTTGATGACATTGGTGAGAGACACTATGGTATATCCCACCCTGCGAGACCCAGTTGGGGTGAGAGTTGAACTCCCATACACAAACCAAGTCAGGGTTGGGTTTGGTAGGGGATCTGGGGAGATTAGGGTATCCTGGTACGAGAGTTCCTGAAGAGTTTCCAGACACAAGTGAGTGAGTGGTTCACTGGAACGGAGGAGGGAAGCTGGATTGAGAGGAGGGCAGGAATCAAAGGAGAGGGAGGGGTTTTCAAGAAACATAACATGAAAGAGTTGTAGTTTAGAGGGAGCTAGATTGGTAAGAGATGTGTGGGTTAGTAAATCCTTAAGCTGGTGTGGGGAAAAGAGAGACATTGGCTGACCCAAAGTGAGCTTCAGTCCCTCCTGAGCCAGAAGTGCTGCAGCGGCCAGAGCCCAGAGACAAGGTTGCCACCCCTGGAAGGTGGTATCCAGCTCTTTATAGAGATAATCTACTGGGGTAAAAGTGGGGCCCCTCATCTGTCCCCAAAACCCTAATGCCTGGCCCTTATTTTCAGTCATGTGGAGAAGAAATTAATATTCCAGGTTAGGGAGAGCTAGAGCCTGTGCCTTTAAGAGTTCTTCCTGAATAATGTAAAATGTGGCTGTAATGGGCCCTAAGGGGTCAAGAGGCTCAGGGAAGCTTCCTTTAGAGGCTTCACAGAGCGGCTTTGCCAAGATGGCAAAATTAGGAATCCAGGTGCACAGGTACCCTGCAATGCCTCAGAAAGATAGAATTCCCTCCTTGATTATGGGAGGCTTTAAAGACCTTAGGTAATTTGTTCTATCTATATTTAAACAGTGGGATGTAGGTGTGAGAAGGAACCCCAAGTACTTGACTTGAAGGAGAGAAAGCTGTGTCTTAGCTGAAGATATCTTATAATCCTTGTCCCCCAGAAAATTAAGGAGTTTTATTGTGTGAGCCTTGGTGACTGAGAGAGATGGGGAGCAAAGAAGTAGGTCATCTACATACTGTAGGATGGTGGAGGGGTTAAGGACTAGGGAAGTTAAATCCTGGGCTAGAGCTTGTCCAAAGAGGTGAGGGCTTATCTCGAAACCCCTGGGGCAGTACAGTCCAGGTTAGTTGGGAAGCCATTCCAGTATCAGGGTCCTCCCAGGTAAATGCAAAGAGGTTGTGAGAGTCCGAGGGTAAGGGTATTGAAAAAAAAAAGCATCTTTAAGGCCTAAGATGGTAAATTGAATGGTGGAGGAGGGGATATGAGAAAGAAGAGTATAAGGGTTGGGAACCACTGGGTGAATGGGAATAACTGCTGAATTAATAAGCCGGAGACCCTGGACCAGATGGTAGGAGCCGTCAGGCTTGAGGACTGGAAGAATGGGAGTGTTATATGGAGAGTGAGTGGGTTTATGGAGGTTAGCTCTCATAAGCCTTTGAATTATGGGCTTAAGTCCATAGCGGTGTTTGAGTGCAATTGGGTATTGGGATCTGCTGGGAAATAGGGAGGGGTCCTTTAAGAGAATGAGGATAGGAGTGTGATGAGAGGCTAGTCCTGGGGCTGAGGTGTCCCACACCTTGGGATTTACTTCAGTGGGGGGAAGGGGCAAATATCTGG